GTACCAGCACCCTCGTGGTACACAAGAACTCGGGCAAGTGCACACGTGCAGACACACACTCACACACACAAATACACAAAAAAATGGATGAAATTAATAAAGTGGAGAGCAATGGAGGATGACACTTTATGTCAGCCTCTGGCCTCTATATGAACACAAATGTATACAACACACACACACACACACACACACACACACACACACACACACGGAAAAGTCGGCAACAGCTGGTTACAGTATGCCATTTAATCACAACTCCCCTATGAAGTTCTATTATCATCTCCATTTTCCAGGGGAGAAAGCTGGGGCACAAAGAAGTTGATTGACAGCCCCTGGTGCTGCATCAGGGCTTCAACCCAGGTAGTCTGGTTCCCGACTGGGCCTCAGCCTCTCCTGCCAGCTCCTTTATGGACATGGATGAAAGAAAACACTGTTGACTGAGCAATGCCCTGTGATATCCAGGTTTATGAGACACTGATGAGAAGGGAGGGGGGTGGGTGACAAGGACAGAGCATTAACAGCCAGGACTGCTGTCCTCAGCATTCAATCCTAGGCAGGAGAATCTATTATCCAGGGTAGGCCAGGCCAGTGTGGTCAGAGGTGACAGGCAGAAAGGAGAGGGTGTTGATGATCGCAGTCCAGATGGGGACTGAGGACTGAGGATTGGTGACAGTTCTCGGTGCATTTGTCTCCGGGCTGATGTCTCACATAAACTGACTGGTAGGCGATTCTGCCTTACATTTTCAATCCACTGCATCTGAAGTCCTTCCAGTGGGAGCACTTTGGAGCTGGAGGAACTCTGCTCGGGTACTGCTAGCTGTCCCCACAGAGGTTGGGTTTAGTTTGCCAATGCCCACAGGGTTAGTTCTTCACTCTCTAGAACCTCCTTTCTAATGTTGGCCAATGTGTGCTGCAGGGCAAGTCTCTGCTGAGGGGTCAAAATTAACATCAACAATCCGGAAACAGAATGAGGAGGATCAGAAGGTGGCACCTCCAACTCCAGCTACTGGGATGCTGTAGTTGGTTGATTTACTCTTTTTACTCTATTGTGTGCATGCGTGTGTGTATGGGGGGGGGTGTGCTACCCTGCTGCCTGGCCTTAGCTTGGCTTGTTTCTAGCCAGATTTTCTTAACTTAAAAAATTATCCCATCTACCTTTTGCCTCTGAGCTCTCTGTTTCCGAATTTTATTTTGTTTTATTTTATTTTTCGAGACGGGGTTGCTCTGTGGCTTTGGAACTTGTCCTGGAACTCACTCTGTAGACCAGGTTGGCCTCAAACTCTTAGAGATCCGCCTGCCTCTGCCTCCCGAGTGCTGGGATCAAAGGTATGCACTGCCACCACCTGGCTATTTCTGTACATCTCTTCTTTCCTTCTTATTCTGCGTCTGGCTATGTATCTGAGTGACTGGACCCCAGCATCCTCCTCTTCCCAGATTTCCCCTTCTATTTATTCTCTTTGCCTGCCAGCCCTGCCTATTTTTTCTTCTGCCTCACTATTGGCTGTTTCAGATCTTTATTAGACCAATCTGGCAAAGTAACACAGCTTCACAGAGCTAAACAAATGCAACATAAAAGAATGCAATGTATCTTTGCATCATTAAACAAATGTTTCACAGCATGGACGAAGGCAGCACATCTTTAACTAATAATCTACAGCAGGGTCCCTCTCAAGACAGTGAGTTCAGGTGATAAATAAGGTTCATCTTGCAAGTCTGGGCTCTTGACTGCATCCATGCTCCTTCAGAGAAGTCATAGCTCTCCTCCAGTTGCTTCAGGAGTTCCAGGCTCCTTTCTCCTGGGGTTGCTGAGAGTCAGAAACATGTAAAGCACTCCCACCTCATCCCTGCCCCATCTCAGAAAATATGGTGGCCAGTGATAGAGGAAGACATTGAGGACACACACACACACACACACACACACACACACACACACACACACACACACACACACACAATTTAGAATAAAATGTTTAAAAAGTTTAAAATGAAAAAATTCGATAAAAAATAAAGAATCAAATCAAATTAAATACACAAGGGCCAAGAAGAGGATTCAGTAGACAAAAGTAATATACTGCTAAGCCCGGTGGCCTGAGTTAGATTGCTGGGACCCACATGGTAGAAGGAGAGGACTCACTTCTGCAAGCTGTCCTCTGACCTCCCACACGAGCCCATGGCATGCCTCCCTCCACCAAAATAAACAAATAATTATGAAAAACCAAACTAAACCCAAACAATCCATAAAGCACACAGGGTGGGTGCTACATGCAAGGTTGGTGGTAGACAGAAGCCCCCAGAGCTGGCCTCTCTATCCCTTGGTGCAGAAGAAGGTCCTGGCACTAGGATTCTGTTGACCATGCTTTCACATCAGGTCAGCTGGCTGTGGCTGCTGAGTCTCCAAGCTTCCAGCTGTGATGTTTTTACAGGCTTCCCAGGGAAATCTATTGGTCTTTCTCCATACAAACACTCCAGGAGGCTTGTCCAAGAAAGAGGCTGGGGATGGGAGGGGGATGCAGAGACGCAGGGGGCTGTGTTTCTTATTTTCCTTCCTCCTCCTCATCCACCTAACTTCAGCCCCCAGTGAAATAGCTTGTGGAGGTCGGAGGACAACTTGAGGAAGTCAGTTCTCCCCTCCCACCATGTGGGCAGAACTCAAGCTGTCAGCCTTGACAACTTTCCTAGGGCACCGCCTCCTCCGTGGTCTCAAGGGGTCAGGGCGAGAAGAAAGGGAACTGAAGCAAAGGTGAGGGGAAGAGGCAACATGAAGAGAGCGGTGGACCTGGACTGAGTCTCAGGCTTGCTCTATTTTTATGGCAACTTCTGGTCCCTTTTCCTGCCTCAGTTTCCCTTGAAGGTTTCTTTGCCCAACAGTGGCTAGCATAGGAAGGGACAGTATGGCATAAGCCAGCCCACACAATGGGAGTCTTTTTAACCAACCCAGTGCTGACAGCGCTTGAGCATCTCAAAGCCTCTCTGGGCTTAGATTCTTCCCCAGGAAGGCTGTACTGCTCAAGGTGATCTTAACTCCAGGGCACTGCAGGCTTTTACAGCAGTTTAGGGTACTGGGAAGGGGCAGATGGTTGGCTCCAAGGTACCTGGAATTGGAGGCTTTGGTGCTTACTGGACTATTCTACCAGTTTTGGTTTCTTGTTGTATGAGGCAGAATCTCATCATGTGGCCCAGGTCAGAAATCTCAATCCTCCTATGTCAACCTCTTGAGTGATGGGATTACAGACATGTTCTACTTCTCCCAACTAGAAATCTTTATTTATTTATTTTTATTTATGTTGCCCAGGCTGGCCTCAGACTTACTACATAACTAAGGATGACCTCCAATTTCTGATTATCCTGCCCCTTCCAATTATGCTATACTCTTAACTCATAGTCTTGTTTTATAGGTGAAGAAATGGCTTAGAAAGTCAGAGTGCTGTTCTGCCTTCCTTGGTTTTGATCCTGTGAACCCTAGATAGTCTAAAGGTCAGCTCAACACGTGTGTGTGTGTGTGTGTGTGTGTGTGTGTGTGTGTGTGGTAGATAAACTTTTTTGTTTTTTTTCTGAATATTATTGACTTTTTTCTTTTCTTTTTTTTTTTGAAAACATCACATGATTGTACAAAAGTTTCCATTTATAGGAAGTGGGAGGAAAGTAAGAAACTGCTGTGACCCTCCTACCCACCCCCTCATTTTCCCAGGGGTTTTCTTGCAAACGGTTGATTCTCACCTCCCATTCCCTGCCTTCCTCTCTTTCTGTTTCTTCAACTATGGCCTTGCTACATAACCCAGACTGGCCTCAAACTCACGGTCCCTGTTTCTGTCTCCTGAGTGTCGGGTGCCTGGCCTCAAACTCACGGTCCCTGTTTCTGTCTCCTGAGTGTCGGGGTGCCTGGTGTGCATCACTCCGCCCTGTTTCCATCCTGACCTTCCTGATGCCCCCCACCCCCATGTTTCTTTCTCATATTAATGAGAGTGCAATATAAATTATTCAACTATACACATTAGAATCGGATATACCTGTCTTCCAATCCCAGCTCATAGTTAATCATTTGAGTGACCTTAGCCAAGTTATTTTAACCATGGTGAGTGTGAGTGTGTGTGTGTGATTGTCTGAGTAATAATATAATAGTATCTGACTTTCAGGATTATGGAAGATTCAACGAGTAGCCTGGCGCATAGTAAGCAACAGATGGGGGGGGGGCAGAAGGAGGGAGGGAGGGAGGGAGGGAAGGAAAGAGAGAGAATCCAGTGGAGCATAACGAGTTAGAGACAAAGCACACACGATATCTTGAGCATTCTAATCTTTAGCCTCGGGTATCTCTGTTTCTTACCCAGACTCCCCCCTCCCACCCCCTGCCCCTGTCCCGCACAAATGTGAAATACTTGCTAAATGAACAACTGCGGGTAGAGTGTGAGTTGAAGTCTGTGGAGTTCTTGGGATGCCTGTCCTGGACAATGCAGGGTTTTACCCTGTGGGTGGGAGAGTGGGGACAGCAGGGCTTGGCTGGACCAGCTGTTGCCCCAGGGCTCCATGCCTGGACAGTTGAGCCTCTAGGGCAGAGACTGGGGCTCTCAGCTTAAAGGCTCTTGGCTTAAAAGGAATGTGTAGTGGGCTGCCTCTGCTCAGGAGGGGCTAAAAAAAGCCTCAGCCTCCCCCTGGGCTATGTGTGAGGGTTATCAGCGGCTCAGGTCAGCTCATCTCTCTGGCTGCTCTGGCTCTTAGGAGAGGGTCCGTTTGCCTGCCCCTCTCCGGGTTTCCACCAATGGCAGGCAGGGAAGGACCAATCTACTCCAGAGGTGCAAGCTGTGAGGAGTGAGGTGTGTGTGTGTGGGGGGGGAGGGGACTGGTGGCCCCAAACTGGTGACAATACTGAGATGTCAGCTGTCCCCTGCTGGTGTTTCTTCCTTTTATAGCCAGCAGCAGTTGCTGGCTCTCACCCAGCCCCTGTGTGGGGGCTCCTGCCCAGGATAAAAGCAGGAGGCGGCCTTCCAGTCTCCCATCTTCTCTCTGAGGGGCCATCTCTCCGCTTTTGGTTCCTTTTAGGTCCCACCTCCACCAGAGGCCCCAAGACAACATGCCTCCCAAGAAGCCCGAGCCTAAGAAGGAGGCGGCTAAGCCAGCCGCAGCTGCAGCCCCCGCTCCAGCTCCTGCCCCAGCTCCCGAACCCCTCAAGGACTCTGCCTTTGACCCCAAGAGTGTGAAGGTGAGTGAGGCTCAGCCCACCAGGCAGGGGTGGAGATGACAGGGTCCCATTTCCTGTTGCTGAGAGATGTTTCTCTTAGGCCAGACAGAGATGAGGACCATGGGCGTCCATGCCCTAGGTCATCCAGTAGAACCAGAACTAGACTCAGGTTAGAGGCTTTCTGTTTTAACAACAGGTTGCCACTCTGTGCAAAGTGGCTCAGTCAGGCCACCGCCCAAATAGCCCAGCAGAATCCAAAATGGTGGCAGGTGCAAGCAAGCAGCCAGCTTTTGTAAAGCGCAATGCGGGCAAGCACAGCGAAGCAAAGATCGGCTTTCACCTAAAGTGGAGTATGAATCTATCTTTTACAGTTTGTTCTTTTATTCTCCCTGTATGGGTGTTTTACCTACATGTGTGTCTGTGTAACACCTGCATACGATGTCTACAGAGGCCAGAAGAGGGCAGTGGACTCCCTCAGCACTGGAGTTACAGATTGTGAGATGCCATGTGGGGGTTGGGGATCAAACCTGGGACCTCTGGAAAAACAGCTAATTCTCTTCTCAGCCCTGAGAGGTCGAATATGCTTATGAAAAATAGACACACGGTGGAAGCTAGTGCCATAACTGGGGATGGGGTGTGAGCAGCCAGGGAGGATGCTCTTGTGTGCAGGGGCATTGGAGGCTTCACTCAAAATTACACCTTTGGACAGGCGGTAGAGAAGACAAAGCAGCCTGGGGCCTTCTCTTTTTCTTTCCCTTACACTGACTGGCCTCTCTTTCACCACCCCAGCTGAGTGGCTCACTCCTGGCTGAGCCTCTCTAACCTGGTGAGGGAGCGGGCCTACTTTCTTTTTGGTTTCTCTGTGGCTTTGGAGGCTGTCCTGGAACTAGCTCTTGTAGACCAGGCTGGTCTCGAACTCACAGAGATCCGCCTGCCTCTGCCTCCCGAGTGCTGGGATTAGAGGCGTGCGCCACCAACGCCCAGCAGGCCTGCTTTCTTTAGTCTCCCAGTTTTACCTGCTGCTTCATCTTGCTCCCTTTACCTGGCTGTAACACCCCCTCTGTCTGGAGCTGGTTTGGGCCCCTGTTGACTGACTCAGTCATTTTAAACCTTCTAGAAATCTGGCCCAGCTGCTAAAGGAATGAATCAGGAAGGGTTGGGCCTGGGAAAGAGGGGGTCTGAAGCATCTAGATAGGACCAGTTTGAAGACTTGGCACTTGAGAGGTCAAGTGGCTCTGGGTATGAGGAGCTATTAATATCAGGTCTGGAGTGGTGGCCCCCTGGGGGATCTCACAGGACAGGAGTGGAGGGTATTGATGAGAAGTACATGACAAGGCTCTGTGACACACAGGCAGAGACCCCGAACCCAAGGCTCTAACCTAGAGTGTGGGCCTCCTTAGTCTTCTCAGGATCCAGCTCACATAAGAACTTTCGTACATTACTGTGCCAAGGGGCCAAGACCCTGTTAGCCCTACCAGGAGTTTGGCAGGATTGACGAGTCAAAGGGGTGAAGGAAGTTGCCCCATGCCTGGACTTGATTGTGTGACTCCTTGTGGAGAAACAGAGAGTAGTGGAAACCCGATAGGACCTGGGGGCGTTCTGCATCATCTTTCTTTCCTAAGAGCTGATCATGTCCCCCCCTGCCTTCATTTCCGATTTGTCTGCTTAAACACCCTGCCTGGGACTTGTTGTCTGGACAACAGCTGCCCAGTGGCATCAGATGAGCACTCTCCACTTGGATCTGTCCCTTCCCTCCGCTCAGTCACCTCTCCTGATTGTCCATCCTTTAAACAGAAGAAAGAAAGAAGTCAGTGTTACTCACGGGAGCCATTCCCTGTTCACGTATTGCCCAATTCCTTTGTTTATGAGATTCCTTGACCACATTGAGAGCAGAGGTGAACCTGGGATCATTGTGTCATGACCACACGGTCAGGCTGAGGGCATCTGTTCTGGTTTCTTTTACATGTCTGCTCCTGGGGCAAAAAGTATCACAAAGCAAGGCAAGCGGTATCTTTCCCAAGTGTATAGACCTTACTTGGCGGGGTGGTGGTGGCGGTGGCAGGGGTGGCGGTGGCGGTGGCAGTGGAGGTGGTGGTGGTGGCGGCGGCGGTGGCTGTGGTGGCTTTTCCTTTCCTCATTTACCTCCACACTTGGTAAAACCACTCCCGGCCATAGTTTCCTGGCTGAGCGCCTGTGCTGTCCGTTCTGGGAGGAGAGGGGGGGTGGGTGTGGAATGGTGGCACATGAAATACCCCAGGGGTGGCACCCAGGGTAGAGTGGAGCAGGGAAGGACGTCAAAGTGACATCCAAGACTGTTAAAATGGTGACTCACGCGTGCTCATCTCAGCTCACGTTTCAGAACTTCCCACCCAGGTGCTCTGTCCTCAGTATTGCAAACCATGCACCCAAACCATTGCTTCACTTAACACTTTTGAGTGCCTACTGTGTACCAAACACTTTAGTGATAAGAATATCGCTGGGGGTGGGTGGGTGGGAAGGAGACCTGGTTTTAATGAGACAGGCACAGAGAAGTAGTGACAAAGAATCCTGGCACCTGTAACTTATTAGAATGCCCAGGAGGACAGTGGAAGGGACAGCTTCATTCACTGAGGCACGTGGCGGGGGGGGGGTCCCCAGTATGAGCAGTAGTGAGCACCCAAAGCCAGAGGAGGCGCATCTAGTCAGGAGACTGTGAACCTGGGGGTGACAGATCAGCTCATCCATGGCTGTCTAGGGTGAGAAAGAATTTATTGTCGACCCAAAAGAATTACAGTAATGGGTCACCATAGGCTATACACTGTGTAGATAGATAACTTCTCTTCTTTTCCTCTTGATGGTGATTTTTTTAGATTGATTTATTTTGTGTATGAGTGTCTTGCCCGTATGTATGTATGTGGGCCGTGTGTGTCTGTTGCCCATGGAGTCCGGAAGAGAGCATTGGAAACGTTGAGGCTGGAGTTGCAGACGGTTGTGAGCTTCTACGTAGGTGCAGGGAACTGAACTTGGGTCGTCTTCAGGAGCATCAATGACTCATAGTTGTGGAACCATTTACCAGCTCCAGCTTCTCACTTACCTTTTTGGCCTTGAGAGAGTTTTGAAGGCTGCATTATGTCATAGAGTTCCAGCTTTGGGCTGTTCACTGGGAGACCGGTTTGCTCTCAGCCCGGCGTCCTTCCCTCTTCACCAGTGGTCTGCTGGAGGTGACCGGACTCCCTTTTGGAAGCCTTGGGCAGTCCCCGCCCTCACTCCTATGTTTCCTTCCCTACAGATAGACTTCAGTGCTGACCAGATCGAAGGTAAGTGTGAACAACTCCATGTTCTCTTGCACTTTCCACAGAAGGAGTAGTGGTCCTCGTGGCAACAGTAACTATTATCCTCCCCGTAGGCCCGTTAGTCATAGTCCTAGGCACTTTATATGGATCAAGTCACTTTATTCTTCAAACAATCCTGTGAGGTATAGTAGGTATCACTGCCCCCATTTAACAGGTCATAAAGTGAGGCTCAGAGAATTTGGGTGTCTTGTCCATTCTCACATGGGCAGTAGTGATGGATCCAGGATTGAAATCTGGGTAACTTATTCTAGACCTTTGCTTTCCGCTGTCCTTTCAGAGGGCTTGAGATAGAGTTGGTGATCAGCATCAAGTGACGCTGATATCTTTACCTCCCCTCCGTGCCCCCCTAACCTGTCAGGGTATCTGCAAGTCCTTCTCTCTGTTCTTGACACTGGAAACACTCTTTAGCTTATGGGCACTCCCTCCTTCATCATGGAGTATGTCTGTGACGTGTCCGACCACCAGTGTGACCACTGGTGGCAGGGCCAGTGGCGACTTGCGGGTACACTAGTCCATTTGTTGTCTCTGTCACCAGCTCTTCTCATTTTCAATAGAGACAATTTCTGCTTTCTCAATCCTATATAAAGTGTCAGTAAATGAAACTTTACAACAGATCTCAAGGGGCTGGAGAGACAGATGGCTTTTCCCAGAGCAGTTCACAACCACCTGTAACTTCAGCTCGTACACTCACATGCCCACATAATTAAAAATAAAATAAACCTTAAAAAAAGAGACATCCTGGGACTTCTCACACATGGATGTACTTGAATAATCAGAGAGACCTTTGTGTTTTTTACATTTGGGGGGCATCTGCATCTTTTCTCCAGGTGGTCTTTCTAGCAGTGCTTGAAAGGATGCTTGCATTTGAGTTGGAAGATTAATGACAGTTTTTGTCAGTTTCCCTCTAACAAGGCAGTATCAGTTTACTCACACACAGAACATGAGACCCGACACACGTGTTTTGGAGCTGGTGACAGGAATCTGTTTTTGTCATATACTGTAGAGACTCACTGTCAGGCAACAGCTCTAGTTAAATACATGCATCTGTAGCTATGTCAACCCCAAGGCACCAGTGAGGACTGGAAACTTTCATTTCCCACCGGGGAATTGTGGTGAAAATTCGCTAAGACAGCTGGTTGAGGTTTTCAGGCTGGGGTTTACCTCTTTGTAACCTCTCACCCCTGACTCTGAAGCCCTTCTCTTCATGTTGGATTACGATGGTTTCTTCTTCAGATTTCATCCCTGTTGTCTCTTCATTTGCTTTTGGGTTAAGCTGTGGCCTGTCTTCCTTCCTTCCTTCCTTCCTTCCTTCCTTCCTTCCTTCCTTCCTTCCTTCCTTCCTTCCTTCCTTCCTTCCTTGAATTTCTGAGTCTCCTGCCTCCACCTCATAAGTGCTGGGGTTATAAGAAAGTCTACCACACTTGGTTAATACGGTGTTGGGGATTGAACCCAGGACTTCACCCATGCCAGCCAAGCTCTCTACCGACTGAGCAACGTCCCTAGCCCCGGCTGATGGTTTTGTTGTGTTATAATGAAAAGAACGAAAAGAATGTTCTTTGGGTCAGGAGACTATTTTATTGTCACCAGTTCTTCCTCTATGAGCATGAGATGTTGTTCATGCCCCCTTCTTCTTCCAAGTTCATTTTATTTGTGTGTGCAGGCATGTGTACCCATGGAGGCCAGAAGCAGGCATCAGCTCTCTTGGAGCTGGGTTTATAGGCTTTTGTGAGCTGCCTGATGTGGCTGTTGAGTTTCAAATCTTGTCTGATAGAGCATTAAGCTCTCTTAACCACTGAGCCATTTCTCTAGCACCATAGTCACTTCTATAAACTTAATTTTCTTTTATTCAAAGCAAGGATATTTGGTTTTGTTCAGTTCCTAAATTTTGTAACTATTCAGGATCTTGTCTACCTCTACCCTTCATCTGTCTGGAGCTATTTACCATCTTCTAAGCTTTGAGTTTCCTTGATGCTATGGCTCCAATTTCCTTACACACCCACCCCACCCCTCCATAGGAGCTAGCTTCCAGCTGTTGACTTCTTCTCTGATCCTCAACCAGATTTGCATACCCTTCTAGAACAGGGCTTCTTCCACCATGGGGCTCTTGCTGTCCATTCATTACTGTAGTCTGCTGTCACTTGTGGCTGTCCACCTCTTTGTCAACAGTATGAGGTGACCCAAGTGACACTGCCCGTTCATATTATTCTAATAAAGCAATTGAATCCAAATTGATGGAGAATAAGCCAGACATGGTGGCACATGCCTGTAATCCTGGCACTTGGGAGTGAGAGGCAGGAGGATCAGGGGGTACCAGACCATCCTCTGCTACATAGCACATTTGGGGTCAGCCTGGGTTACATGACACCTTGTTTCAAAAAACCAAAAGCAAGCAAACTGATGAAGAAGTAAGGCCATTTACAAAGGGTCCCTTAGACACCTGCTCTGCAACCTTCAATGTGTCAGGTCTTTCTTGTGCCGAGCTAGCCCCAGAGGCAGGAGACATGACAGCCACCTTGGTCTGTTCTCTACCTCTATGGTCCACACACTTGGCATGCTTTGTGGTCCCACCGGCCACACATGCACGTGACATTGTGTCCTCACTTAAAGCTAACAATCAGAGGACCCACAGAAATGCCAGCTTGTCAAAAACTACTGCTGGTTCAGTGGCAGGCCTGGTGTGGTCTACTGTGGCCTCAATGTCACCTCGTCTGGCTCTGGAGCTCTTGCAGTTGGGAACAGGCAGTACAGATAATAGCTGTCTTTTGAATAGGTCTTATCACTTTGCAAACTGTCCTCACGTCCGGCCACTTACCAGGACACTCACAGTGGCAGGGGTAATGGACAGAGAGGGAGGGAATGGAGACCCGGCCTGGCTTTTCCTCCTCTCCCAGGCAGAACCAAATCTGGGAAGCCTCATTCCTGGAAGGAATAAGAAACTTGCCTCTACCAGGGAAGGAAGTGGGAGGGGAAAACAGGGACTTAGCCAACCCTATGACTGACTGGGAAAAGGGAGCCAGAGACCAGAGCTAGGACAGGTCATGGAGTCCCCAAGTGACTTAGCTTGCTTGTCAGGAGATGGGGGTAAAAGCAGTTTCCAAGGAAAGTCTGGAACAGTGGCTCAAGGGAATGACTACAGCTTTTAAGTACCCTATTATTGAGCAAGCCACAGCCACTGCCTACTCTTGGGGCAGGGGCCTGTAGCTGGGTGTCTCTCTACAGAGTTCAAAGAGGCCTTTTCACTGTTTGACCGGACTCCAACTGGAGAAATGAAGATCACTTATGGGCAGTGTGGGGATGTTCTACGTGCCCTGGGCCAGAACCCCACCAATGCAGAGGTGCTGCGTGTTCTGGGCAAACCCAAGCCTGAAGGTTAGTGTGGGATTAATGTCTAAATAGTTCAGCACCCATACAGAATGGTCTAATAACTGGACCCAGGGCAGAGTTACATGGACGCTTGATTTTTTTATTTTTGTTGTTGTTTGCTTGTTTTGTTTTGTTTGCCTTTTCCAATTCTGTTTGCTTATCTCTGTAACTCTGCCTGTCACTGGTGGAGTGTCTCACCCTAAGCCCTGGGTGGTGTGAGGGTGGGGACAAGGCCTCTTGGCCCTCTCCTCCCTGAGTATCTTCTTAAGTGGTCTCTGTCTGCCCTCATGCCCTTTGGAAGAGATGAGTTCCAAGACACTGGACTTCGAGATGTTCCTGCCCATCCTGCAGCACATCTCCCGCAACAAGGAGCAGGGCACCTACGAGGACTTCGTGGAGGGGCTGCGGGTCTTTGACAAAGAGAGCAACGGCACAGTCATGGGGGCTGAGCTTCGGCATGTCCTTGCTACTCTGGGTATGTCAGCGGGGCAGGAACGAAAACAACATGAAAAGTAGCTGAAGGATAAGAGGGACCAAGTGGCATATAGTGAGGTGTATCTAAGGGTCCCTGTGTCTGGCGAATCTTAATCCAGGGCCTGTTTCCCTGGCCTCCATGGAACCCCCCCCCCCACTCCATCTATTCCAGGAACTGGGTTTGCCCAGCAGGCACCAGGGGCTGGGAGAGGAGAACAGTTGGCAGAGCAGGGGTTACTCCTGAGCCTGCCGTGACTCGGGGCTTCTTTCCTTCACCGCTGGTGCTGTGGCCCGAGACACTTGCGCCCACTTCCATAGCCTTTGCGGAGGCTTGCCACTAACCATTTCTCAGATCCAGAGGGGGCTTTCGTTTTTCTTTCCCCTTCTCGGTGTCATCACGACCCCATTCCCACACCCTCAGGGGAGAAGATGAGTGAGGCAGAGGTGGAGCAGCTGTTGTCCGGGCAGGAGGATGCCAATGGCTGCATCAATTACGAAGGTATGGCCTTCTTTGCTTCCCAGGGTGCCCAGGATAGGATGGGATGGGCCAGCCCAGGGGCAGCAGGGTGCACATCTCCCAGGGGCAGCAGGGTGCACATCTCCCAGGGGCAGCAGGGTGCACATCTCCCAGGGGTTGTGGCAGATTCTCACTGGGTGCTTTTTTTTTTCCATCTTGGGACTGAATATCTGATATAATGGAAGGAACATTAAAAATTTATATATTATTGTTGTATGTATAGATATGATATGAATGTTGGTATGGGCACATAGGTGTGTTTAGAGGTCAGAAGACAAGTTTTAGGAATCAATAATTCCTTCTACCATTGGTTCCTGGGGACTGAACTCAGGTCCTCGGGCTTTTGTGACAAGCACTTGTACCCACCGATGCATCTCACTGGCCCAGGACCTTGGGTTTTGGCGACAGCTCTGTGATAAACCATCATTGTGACTTTGATCAAGTCACTTGCCATCTCTGAGCCTCAAATGGGGATGGGCATTGTAAACTGTGGGGATCTGTAGTGACAATATAGTTCCTGTCATCTGCCTAATGTCAGCACAGAGGGCACACAGAGCAGAGTCTGGGTCTTTTCCCTCTTCTGCCTTCTCCACCAACCCTCCAGTAAGAGAATTACCGCCTGCTGGCAGGGCAGAGCAAGGCCGGAAGTGTGGGGGACAGGAAGCAGTGGAGAGGGGGCAGAGCTCCAAGGGGCATTCTCTACGGCTGATTCTCGGATTCCTTTTCTAGCCTTTGTCAAGCACATCATGTCCGGGTAGAGTGGATTTCTCCAGGGTGAGTTCTGCTTCTTCCTCAAGGTCCTTTGTGGCTCTAAAGGGGCTTACGGATATGCCACAGGCGTTAGAAGTCTTTTGTGCCAGGGATGTGGGAAGGTGACATGCTCCCATCTAGCACTTTTTTTTCTAGGTGCTTGACCACCCATGGTGGATGTCACAGAGTCCGACTCACATTGTGTCACAGCTCTACAACTCCCAGACCCACGACTTTCCCTGTAAATAAAGAGCCCAGCACCAAGTCTCACCAATCCCTGGGCTGTTTTGCAAAACCTATTAGTGGAGTCCATTTGTGTGTGTGTGATAATGTCACCCGAGACCTCGTGTTCTTGGGAAATGAGTTGGATCTGGGAGCAGGGAGACAAGGACAAAAGACCAAGGATCTAGAAATAGTGGACCAGACACATGAGCGAGAGGCTTTTGAAGGACCTGCAGCTTGAGGACCCAGGGATCTCCCCTGCCCCCACAAGCTCCTTTTCCTCTCTGTCACCATTAGGTAGAAGATGGGAAAAGGGACACCTGGGATTGCCAGGACCCCTCACAGAGTCCTTGGTTCTTCTTCTTCTCCTTTTCCTTCTTCTTTAAATCATACCAGGCATGGGAACACAGTGGTAGAGAGGTGGAGGCAGGAGGATCAGATCATATTGAGCTACAGAGTGAGCTTGAGGTCAGCCTGGGCTACGTGTACTCATGGACTACAGCCTACTTCAAAAGAAAAAAAAAGCTCAACACTTGTTTAATATGTGTAATTACATTAGATTCCCAGTACTTAAAAAATGACTAAAGACTTAGAATACAGACTGTAGCATGATAACCATTTTTTAAAAATCAATTCAGTAGTTGTCTTAGGGTATCTATTGCTGTGAAGAGACCATGTCAACTTATAAAGGGAAACATTTAATGGGGTGGCTTGTGTACAGGTCAGAGGTTCAGTCAATTACCGTCGTGGTGGCACATAGTGGCATTTAGGCAGACATGGTGCTGGAGCTGGGAGTCCTATATCTTGACTCACAGGCAACAGGAAGTGAACTGCCACACTGGGCATGGCTTGAGCATATATGAGACCTTAAAACCTGCCTCCTTAGTGATACACTTCCTCTATCCATATAGGCTTATGGGGGTCAATTGCACTCAAATTACCACAGTAGTGTTAAGAATATTTACACTATGGGGCTGGAGAGATGACTCAGTGGCCAAAACTGCTTATCGTTCACCCAGAGGACCCCAAATGTGCTTCCCAGCACCCATATCCAGATGTTCACAACCACTTGTAACTCCAGGGCATCTAATCCATATCTGGCCTCTGAGGACACACACACACACACACACACACACACACACAGAGAGAGAGAGAGAGAGAGAGAGAGAGAGAGAGAGAGAGAGAGAGAGAGAGAGAGAGAGCTTGTGAGTTTGGGGCTACATAGTGAGTTCCAGGACAACCAGGGCTACAGAGAGAGACCCTGTTTCAAAAACAAAAACAAAACAAAATACCAAAAAACCACACCCCCAAAACCACTCCCTCAGAAAAGGAAAAAGGGAAATGTATCTTTGAAACCTTTAGAAACCAAACAGTAACAAACAATAACCAGCCAACACGTGGAAGTGCATTGTCATTTGCTTTCCCAGAGAGGTCCGGGACTGCTGGTATGCTGCTCAAAGCCACAGGCACTCGAGCCCCTTTTTTACTGTCTCCTCAAGTGTGAGCTGTCCTGGTGATCTAAGATGGCTGCTGCTTCTTGGCCATCTTGTCCACTGAGGAATGTTCAGGAGCATTCTCCACTCAGTTAACGTCTTCAGGAACTGGCAATACCCATTAATCTCCTTTGTGGTGTTGGGGGCTTAGTCACCTGAAAACAGAAGACACTCCTGTCCTTTTAACTCAGTGGAGGAGACTTGTGGAAGTTTTGGCCTGGGGCCCATCCTGCGGATTGACGGGAATTGATGGGTCACAGGGCAGCTGCTTAGAGGAAGAAAGAATGGCTGAATGGTGCCCATAAGGCGGAGCTCTCTGCCACCCGGGTCTAAGATGGCAAACACAGTTCTCAGCTCAGGTTTCCACGGAGCTGTCTGCTTCCCATCAGAGAGGATGGGCAGCTTTGTGGAAAGTCCCCCTTATCAGAGGGACTGCGCTGGAGGCAGTGAGCAGAGCCTGGCTTGGAGCAGTTCAGCCTCATCCCTGCGTCTTCCCAACGCTGCATGGAACTTCTGATCCAGCCCACAGTGTCTACTGCCTGTGGGGAGACACGAGGAAAGTGGACCTTAGAGACGATGTCATCATGCAACAGGGTCCTTTGAAGACAAAGCAAATTTCAGAGAGTGTGAAAGAAACAAGGTCAATGTCCTGAACACCTGCTCCGTGCCTGTCCCCATGCAGATCACAGCCATTCCCAGCAGCCCAGGAGATGGGAGTTACTGCCCCCATTCAAGAACATTAAAAAAATTACCAGCAATAGTAAGGGCTGGGAATACAGCTTGGTGGTGAGCTCTTGTCCAGCATCTGTGGTTCAGTTCCCTTCAATAACAACAACAGAAATGTCTAAACACTTTTGGGTTGGTGGGGTGGTTGATATTAACTGTCAACCTGACACAATCCAGTACCACACAGGAAGGCAGTCTCAACCAGGGATTGTCCAGATTAGGCTGTCCTGAGGGTTTGTCTGTGTGTGATCTTGAGATTACATTAACTGAGTTGTGCTGATCCGCCCACTGTGGGTGGCGCCATTCCCTACTTAGAAGAGGATCCTGGATTGTATAAGAGTGGGGAAAGCCAGTAGAAGGCACCTTGAGAAGCACATAACATCCACTTAGCATCCTCATCAGGACCTGTGGTCTCCCCAGTCATGGACTTTGGGTCAGGTTTACAGCATTGGTTCCTCTTGCGGAGCAGGTCTCAGACTTGCTGCTACGGTTGAGGGGGCACATCATTCCTGGATGGTCCGTGGAACAACATTAAACTTGTTTTAAACCTTCAAGATCTGAGTCAGGCTTGGCCCTTCCCTGTTGCTTTCCCCCACTGTCAGATGAACAAACATCCCCTTAAACAGAGGTCTCAGCAAAATCTCCTTCACAGAGTCACAAGGTTGAGACTGAAGATGTCAGCGCTGGAGGACTTTTTGATTTCTATTGTCACATAATTACCTGAAGGCAGTGTTTAGCACAGTACCACCATGTGTTTGGCATCTTGCAAAAACTCTGGTTACTGGGGCTTTTAAGGTAATAGTGTGTGTTGGTGATGGCTGGAGGTGCCATGTCCAGTTCACACCGCTAGATGGCGGAATTGCAACAGTGTGCCTCCCCATGGAACTCCCCAAGTATGACATGAAGTTCATAGCCTGGGCTGGAAAAAAAGCCTTCAGAAATCACTTAGCTTATCTTTGGGCCTTTAACAAATGGCGATTTTGTTTATTTTAAAAGAAGCACAGCAATTAGCCTGTAAGCTTCATTACAAGGTTTTGCAATGAGGGTCACAGGGAGGTCATTGTTGTGGAAATATGGATTCCCGGAATGACCCAGTTTGACTCCTAAATCATGTACCCACTTTCCTTAGTCCCATAGCTTATAAGATAAGAAGGTAGACTGGATTATCTCTAAAAATTTTTTTTGGTTACACTTAATTGTGTGTATGTATGTGTGTGCATCTGTGAGTGTCAGTGGAGGCAAGAAGAACATGCCAGATCCGCTGGGATCTGGAGTTACAAGTGGTTGTGATATCTGATATGGGTGCAGGGGACCAGGGCAACCAGAGATCAGAGGAGAGGAGAAGGAAGAAGAGGAGGACAAGGAGGGAGGGCTTCATGAAATAGGTGTGGCAAACATGTCGTTAGACAAGGATGGTGGCATGTGCTGAAGTGAGAGGCCAACTGGACAATTTAGTTGACAAGATACTGTTTGAAAACAAAAATCAAAAACCAAAACCCCAAACCAGGCATGGTGGTCAACCCATGTATCCCAACACGCAGGAAGCAGAGACAGGAATATCAGAGGTTCAAGGCTATCCTAGGCCACATAGTAAGTTCCAGGTTAGCCTGAGTCATATGAAACACTCTCAAAATAAATGAGCAAGTAAACGGCTGGGGATAAAACTCAGCAGTAAACTGCCTGCCTAGAATTCACATCACCCTAGATTCAATCCCAAGTTTAAAAAAAAAAAAAAGCAAGAACTGTATGCATTGCCCTGAATTTAAGATTTGATTAAAAAGAGACAACAAAGAAAGCAGAAGGAGGAAAAGTACCGAGAATAGGACTTGAGATGGGTAAGAGATGGGAAGAGAGAAGGATTGAGAGAGGATGGAAAGTTGACACGGTGCGCCTGTGCACTGCAGATGACCTGATCAGGTCCCAGCATCCCAGGCAGCTCACAACCACCTGCAGCTCTAGCTCCAGGGATCTGAAAACCATCTTTTGCTTTCTGAAGGCACCTGTACTCATGTGCACATGCCCTTTCCCCCATACCTAAAGATAAAATCAATTTAAAAAAGATTGGAGCCCATTCCTGAATACCACAAGTCGGGATTTCCTCTTAGACAATACACCAGCAAGTCCAGGTTCCAGGCCAACAAATGAGTGCGCATGGTGTGTCTGCTTGCTCTCCAATCTGTCCTGCCTGTGTCCCGCTTCCCTTCACGTCAGTGGTTCTCAACACGTGGGACACGACGTCCCAGGATCAGATATCAGCCATTTGCACTATGATTCATAGCAATAACAAAATGACAGTTATGAAGTAGCAACGGCATTAAAATTGTGTGGTTGGTGATCACCATGGATGAGGAATTAAAGGGCCACAGCATTAGGAAGGTTGGGAAGCACTTTTCCACGTGATGCGTTTTTCATATTTACAGTCTCAATGTTATGACACTCTTTGTCAGGAGAGATGGGAGGAAGGTTGTGGAGTTCCGGTCTTTTACTGGTGTGTGTGTGTGTGTGTGTGTGTGTGTGTGTGTGTGTGTGTGTGTGTACATGTGCGTGCACACGAGTGCAGAGGTCGGGGTAGGGCCAGTTGCCTTTCTCTCCTCCACCCCCTTCGCTGTTTTGAGACACAATCTCTCACTGAATGGGGAAACTCATTGATTTGGCTGCCCAATGAGCTTCAGGAACCTGATTGTTTTTGTGTCTGCTCCCTTCCCCCACTCCAGAATTGGGGTTACAGGTGCAGGTCATTTTATGGCATTTCTTATGTGGGTTCTGAGGATCCAGACACGGGGCCTTCCGGCTGGGTGGCAGGCACTTTGCTGCTGACGCTGTCTCCCGGCCTTTGGTCATGGGTTTAAATCTCATTT